CTGGAGAGTGCCTGGGGAGATAAGAAAACTGGGTCTCTCTCTCTCTCTCTCTCTCTCTCTCTCTCTCTCTCTCTCTCCCTCTCTCTCTCATCTTTTGAGATAGTAAGAGCCAGGGAGGATGGGCATGACCATATGGAAGCAGAGTCCTACAAGCTCTAATTAGGCAGTAACAAAGATTATAGAGTATATGGGCTCCAGTTGGGGGGGTATGGGAGGGTGCCATTTGGGATGGGGGTATAAAGATGATTAAAATTGTTTTGGATGTTCTGTATGAAATACACAAGAAAAACAAATAAAAGTAGTTAAAAAAAGAAGACTGAGTCATGAGGAATTTAAATATGTGAAATATAAACAGCATCCCAAATAGCTGGGGAGAAATGAAGTCTTTTAATAAAATCTCCCAGTCTCAGATATCCATTTGATAAAAAATGTAAATGAAACTTATAACAATGAATCTACTCCAACCCAAGAAGAGACTCAGCACTAAATCCAAAGAGTGAAAGCAATAAATTAGCAAGCAAACAAAAAACGACACCAAAGGGGGTATTGTTTCCATAACTACATGTGGGGTGGAGTTTTGTAAGCATTTCAGTAAATCCCAAGGCTTTAAAAGAAACCTTACATATTCAGTGAAATAATTACTAAGGTAAATAATCAGCTGCAACATGAAAAGTTAGTACAAACAGCAACTCTGCTTTCCACTGGTACTTTATGTTATTCCTACCTTCTTTGCTTGCTGATATAGTCTGCTAAGGGCCTTGAAGTAACTATGCAATATGTTCTGCATAGGGTTATATTTGGATTTAGTGGGAAATAAGAATTGAAAATAAAACAATCTTAACTTTCTGTCTTTTTGAGACAGGGTCTCCCTGTAGCCCCAGCTGTCCTGGAACTCACTATGTAGACCAGGCTGGCCTTGAACTCACAGAGATCCACCTGCCTCTGCTTCCCAAGTGCTGGGACTACAGGCATGCACCACCACACCCGGCTAGAAGTGTTTATTTTTTTTAGTATGACATTCCATAAAATAAATTAGCATATAGTGACAAAATCATTCCTGCGACCAGAGGCAGTAGGGAGGGGTTGGGGAACATTTTTGTTCTATATAAATATGTTATACCTTGATTGTTGTGTATTTGTCAAAACTCAGTAAGCTGTTCATGTGTAGTGGGTATGGTGTACTATAGCTAAATGAGAAGACTTATTTAAACTTGTGGAAAAATGAAGTTTAAATATGTAAACAGATACTTCACAGAAAGTATTAAAAATTTATGAGCCTATGAAAAATGTTCATTTGCATTCATAAGAAAAGAAAAGAAAAATATAGTGGTGTACCTTTCTCAGCTACTTGAAAGACTGAATAAATATTAAGAAATAAAATCTTAACAAGGCTATGAGTAAAAAGAGCCTTCTACACAATTTAATAATAATACCAATTGTTATAAGCACATAAGGGAATTTAGCATTACCCAATAAAATGATCTATGACTACCTTTAAAGATTTTACACTGGAGGGGGGGGAGTGCATCCATGTTAGTGAATGCACATGTGTATGGAGATTAGAAGGCAAAAGAGTCAATTCTCTCCTTTCACCACATGGGGTCTGAGGATGGAAATCAGGCTGTTAGTCTTAGAAACAAGTGCCTTTACCTGCTGAATCCTATCATCAGCCACTCTGGTTACCTGTGATTTAGAAGTTAATTTATTAACCTTATTCAGAATATATTGTTCAAGCAGTATGGAACTACATATTTCTTTTTTTGTACCAGGGTTTTTGTGCAGTAAGATATTGGAAACCTCATAAATGCTCAGCTATAAGACGTTATTATTTTATAGCTATTTGGAAGCACAAAAGTATTTAAATAAAGTATGGCAATTCAAAAATAAGTTTGATCTTTGGAATCATTCGTAGTATGTATACAGCCAATAGAAGGAAAGAAAACGAATACAGAAGGAAAAAATTACATATGCAGAACAGTTAGTGTAATCATAATTTATTTTTACTAATGTGTATTTATGTATTTATTTCTGTTTCTAGGAGACAGGGATTTTGCTGTGTAGCCCATGCTTGCTTTGTACTTCTGACAGTTATTCTGCTTCAGCCTTCAGATTACAGGTCTGTGCCTCCATACAGAGCTGTATTTAAATTAATAATTTAAACATAACAAGGATGGAGACAGTCTTTGCATTGTTCACTTGTGATCTTGACTTTGTATCTTCAGGCGGAAAAATTAGCAACCTTATAAACAAATAGTGAAACTCTTAAAAGATTTTTTAAAAAATTTTTGAAATCTTTTGTAACGTTACAGGTTATAAAAGCAATGAGTTAAACCCACTTGACAAACCAGAAAAAGAAGAGCAAATGACAGCCAAAGATCCAGAGAAAAGGAATAATAAAGATCAGAACAGACATAGTTAAAACAGAATTTAATCAATAGAAAATAATCCATTGCATTAGGTCAAAGAGAAATTAACCAATATCAAATGCAAACTAGCATTCATTCAAGATGAAATGGATAACAGATTACCTTAAAAAATTAAATTAGAGTGGCTGAAGAGGTTGCTTTTGGTTAAGGGCACTAGTTCTTACAATAGACCTGGGTTTGGAGTCCAGCACCCATATAACAGTTTATAGCCACCTCTAACTCCAGTTTTAGGTGATCAGGTATCCTCTTCTGGCCTCCATGGTCAGTAGGCACACTCATGATGCAGATATATACATGTAGGCAAACACTCATAAACCTAAAATAAAATAATCAGATTAAAATCTATTTTATTAAATTCTTTGATTACTCCATACAATGTTTTTTGATCATATTATCTCCTACCCAAATTCATCAAAGATCCATCCCCACCTCTATATTCAGCTAACTCTGTATTCTTTTTTGTTTTCAAGTACATACATCTTTTAAAATA